CTTGGTGCTTGGTGAAAGCAGTTAGATGTTCCTTGAACATCAAAAGTTTCCTTCATCTTACATGCCATTCAACAGCTTGTCATGTATTAATAACTATGAGCCTAGCCTTCGGCAAACAAATGAATTGCCAGAAACGGTCGGGAAAATGAGGATTTCCTCTTCAAGTACCAATGGTGGGTGCTCCACCACTCTGAATGTAAAACCACCTCGTCCAGCCAGAAGCAAGGTCTCCGTCAAAAGCTTGAGTCCCTGATTGATGGACGCAATGTGAGGAGTGGCGCCCGCTCGTTCTTTTGTAGATGAAACATATAAACAAACAGCACCCGCACTGAAAAAGTTTCTGAGGTGTTTCATCTAGAATCTAGGCATGCGTGAGATTTTTGCTTCCACCATCTTTCGCAGTTCCAGAAACATTTGCTGAATTAGTCTTTCATGGAGAAACGCCTGCTGTGGGCGGTCTCCGTCGCAAAGCAGCAGGAATCAACATCCTGAACACGGGCCAGTGAATTATATGCTGATTTGCTTGATCTGAGTGGAATGGGCCTGTTTGTGGCAAAATAATTATGATAACACTGCAAATGAACTCTCACTCTTCATCGAGAATCTCTCCAACTACACTCTTTCTCTGTTACGCTCAGTGTGAAAGCAGCAGCAAACGGTTCATGTCTTTGAGACGACCGGTGCAGGCGGTGCAGGAGTACAGTCGTCAACAGAAAGGAACATGTTCTCTATGAAATCAGTCCCCTGCAATCATGCTGGTCGAAGGGAATCTTAGGGGCTGAATCCCAAGGTGATGAAAGCCTTGGTTCCATGTGGTTCCATGTGGCAGCAACAGTACATGTTGAAGGTCAAATTGACATTAAAAAAACATAATATATAAAAGAATATATAACAGCAGTCTTTGGGACTTTCCAACCGCCCGGTGTGATGTTCGGTCTTTCTTCACCGGCAGGTTGTCACGAGGACCGGAAGTTCTCCTCCTCATCCCCGATCGAGGAGGACGGGACACGCACCCCGACTTGCGTGCTGAGGATCCACGGTCAAACTCCGTAAGAAGCACAGAAGGCCTTCCTCTTCACGTTGTCCCTGCGACTCATACAGAGCTCGGTTTGCGCCGGTGAAAGGAGCGTGGAGACCGTCTGATGATAGTTTAAAGCCTCCCTAGAAATGTAGAAAGCGGATTTGAGCACCAAGGGCAATTGTTGAAACATGTTGAAACCTTAGTAGAGTTTGCAGTCAAACCCCCGTAGGACCGCTAGAAGGCGATTCCCTCCTCCATCCTCGAGCCCCTCACCTACACAGAATCCCACCTGTACCAAGCGGATCTTGGGCCCCTACACTGAATTCCACCCCAACATCTGCCTGCAACTGATTGACCAGATGCACAAACCTTGACACCTCCATGTCCTGGAGCGTCTCCTTCCACACCTCGGTCCGAGGGGCGCGTGGACCCGTCCGGTCCGATCCAGCCGATGGATGAAGAAGTCGGTCTGGACGTCAGAAGCTTTGGCCAAAATGCGGGTGCCAGGACTCACAAGACGGGTGGTGTTGATCGATGTGTTTAGTCCCATCCAGTGAGTGGAACACATGGGACACCCCTAGCCTCCATTCATAGCATCCCTTTGTGACTGCTGGTGCAAACAGATTTATCGCATCTGTTCTCAGTTCGTTCGTCTCCCTTGTCCACATCTGGCTGGTCTGGGCGCAAGGGAAATCAAGGGAATCCCGCACATTCGAACATTTCTCTGCTCACAAAGATTCTTTGGGGTCCTTGCTCCGTTCGAGCCGGGCAGGGATGCCCCAGTCGCGATGCGGTGACTGGCCATGCCGGTGGGAGCCCAAACGGCCTTCCCGCAGCGATCTCGCAATGGGTCACTTCTAGGTAACGAACCTGTGTATTAGATGAGTCAAACATACTTTAAAGATCCCATTTTGGGGTGTGTACCAAACAGGGAGGCCTCCCAAACACCTCCTGGAAGAAGGAAAGTAGACCAAAAGCCGTTGGTTGGATGTCTCCCTGTTAAACTACGCCCCTCATGTAGCGTTCGTGTCTTGACAGCGGCAATGACGTTCAACGATTGACCACACCAGTTGAAGGAATCGAATCCGGAAGACCTTCATCCGGTGATCGTCCTTCATCGCTGGAAACGAGAACGGGAGAAAAGGGCAACTCTGGTCCCTGGAACGAGTTCCACATCCTGCAGTTCTGACGAAACACCCTGGTATAATCTGACCCAAATGGAATCTCAAAACCATTGGGTTGTAGAGGACTATCGTCTTCCAGTCTGGTCCATGCCATCAGGTTCCATGTGGGTCTCTTGCAGGGTGTACTTGGTAGGATATTGCACACCAAACCTGCCAACCTCCACCAGAAAAAGCTGCAGGGTACGTTAAAAGCAATGATCCATGAAGACTACTATGAAGACTCATATTGACCCAGTCGCTCCTCAAAAAACTGAATTTCTCCCCCTCAAACAAAGGCAAGGAGGTCAACCATCCCTTTTCAGCACCCGCCTTATCAGCCAGCTTGTAGACATCCAAGAGTTGCCCTTCGCCAGTCGTCTTGAAGCTTCCCAGCGAAGAACAGGTTGCTAGCGAGATGGGCTCCTTGATGTCCTTGGAACGATACTGCTGGTATCACTGCAAGAGTACTTCACTTCAGTGTATTTGTCAAATTCCACCAGTCTAAAGCCTTCATCCAAGAAGCTCTTTATCCTGTGATCCCAAAAAACCAAGAATAAGATCAGCTCCAAAGTTGCGAAAAAAGGCTCCTCTGGAAAGTTATTCCGAAACTTTTGAAGCTCGCCCATGGTGTGGATCTTCTTCTGCAAGATCCACTCCTGTCGTTCAGACGAACCGTGCTTCGCGTCACTCCGTCGCCTGGTGCGACGGACCTGGACTTCGCCAGTCTGCAGACAGTCTGAGGGTGGACTGATGTAGAAAGCAAACACAACTCGGGGACGAAGATGGATGAATGTTTTTTGGGGCCCGTGGCCCAATGCATCCTCGTCCGCCCAGCGAAGGAAAACTATCGTGGGAGACCAGCGAGCGCATGCAGCTCCCCCCTAAGCCGACCAAGAGCTGCAGTCATATTCAGTGATTATGCAGCTCTTTTCTCACCCAAAGGTGCCCTTCACATCTCCCCATCTCTCTCCATCTCTTCCTCCAAACTTTGTGTTGAGTCGGGCGCCATGTATGGCTGGTTGGTCATGTATGGTTGGTCATGTATGGCTGCCATTGCCCAACACAAACTTCGTGTTGTCTCCATCTCTCCTGGCCTTCAACTTCTCCTCCTTCTCCCTCTGCGACTGCTGAAGTAGGACGACGTTTTTTTCATCGCGGCACTCCTGCGCTGGTCGACAGAGTGCGACCGGGTCATGGATGATGGATGCTTCGCGAGAAACCTCCGTCGGAAGTAACAGTGCACAGACAGGCAGAATCTACAAAGTATAAACAATGTACCCTACAGGTCAAGGATCTCATTTGACTGGATCTGGTCATGCAAAACCAGTACTCAATGAGGTCAAGGACCAGGTTTAACTTGGCCCTTAAGATTTGTAGGGATGATACAAAATAAATGCATCTGGCGTTCTGTTCAGACATGTTGAGACATAACGACGAGAATGGGTTGGGAATGGGTTGGGAAAAGAGGATCTGATCTTTCAATTGTTCACCTTGGATAATTGCTGGTCGCCATGTGCATTGCTAAGCCTGTACTACATCCATCTCCGTGTATCCACCAGTTGGCCGAGAGTGGTGCAACTGGGAGCGAAGTGCCCGGTGTGGTCAGATGAACGGCGAGTTGTGCAACGGCTCACCGCATCAACCGTGAAGCCCAGCTACGACCGACATCCAAATCAAGCCGACGTCAACTCGGCTGATCCTGCCATCGATGCACGATACCAGGATGGTCACACTGGACGAACCGACCACGAGGTTGCTTGGGAAACCGCCAGCTTGTCTGAGAAGGTAAGGATCCGGGAATAATGTCACGATATGTCACATAGTGTCAGAACATTTCAGCCTAATTGTCAAATATAGCCAGCACATTTGTTGAGATCTTATTCTCATGATATCTGTATCGTCGGGCTCGCCCAAGATGCAATCAGTGAGGTCCTGGGCTCACCACATGATTCATTGCCTTTGCCGATTTCGCCCAACGCCGGTCACACAAAATGGTCAGTGAATCTCACCCATGATCATGTTGGATACAGGTCAGCGGGAGTAACTTGCTGTTCTCCTGAAGTTGCTGCAGCTTCCAAAGTTCTTCCACATGTTCCTTCTTCATTCTCTCCATAGGATCCTGCGCGTAGGTTTCCAGGACCAAACAAAACCACGACTGCTGCAGAAGATCTTGTGATCATGTGGGGAGTCCCAAACATGTTGTAAGGGCTACACATGTTTGTAGGTGTTGGTCTGTCACCTACATGTGTTCTACGCGTTTTCTGGAGAAATCCCTTCGGAAGGTCAGTGATTTCGCTGAGAGCCCGAACCTCGGAAGGTCACAGCCAGAACAGTCAGCCCAAAGGACTCTGCTCTTTGACCAGTTGAACTGGTTCTCACGACTCCTTCGGACCGAAAAACTGGATTTGGACCACTCCAGAAAACCCCAGGCATGTTTGTTCATGCCTAGGTGATGCACCTGGCGCATATACCTGGCCTACTGCGTCTTGGTCTTGGGTGCACCATGAATATATATATATATACTGGCGGTGGCTTCATGGCACTGTGTCACACAGAAACGGACTTTTCACCATCCTGATCCATATACACGACTTCAATTGAGGGATCCCAATGGTGTGAGGAACCAGGATGCCAGAACTGGAAAGCTTCATACCGTCGACCGACCTGGTTCGGAGAAACAACCAAGTTCCCAAGCAATTTCCCCAAGCATCTCAGAGAGAAAAAAGACTCCAACCCGTTTGCGATCCAAATCAGCAGGAGACGTGTTTTGCACTTCTTAAGCCATCAGTCTCGCCTGTAGCCTACCAGCTAGAGATCTACCAAATCCTCCGGTCCATACGAAGGCATGCCTCGAACTCCTCGGCCCGCCCCCCGCGTTCGGCGCTTCGGACCCGCCGGACCCACGGGTCCGGCGGCTCCCGTGGCGTGCTCCGCGTGCCCCAGCAGTGCTCCGCGTTGCTCAGTTCTTCTAAGGATCTCACCCACTGGACCTTCCTGAGAGGATCGGGTCGCCGGTGTTGCGCGGAAACAAGGGATAAGGATCGTGGGTGAGAAAAGCAAGTCACGACATGATCGGCATCAGGTCGTCACTTAGGCTTTTTGGATGTTTTTTGGATGTCACAGACACTCCATGGGACTGCCATGTATGCCTACATTGACCCCCAAAACCACCCCAATGTACGTAGGCATATATGGCAGTCCCATGGAGTGTCTGGGTGTTGTTTTTTAGTCTTAGAGAATTCAACGTCTAGGGTGACCTCGAACGAAGGTTGCTGGATGAGGTCGATGGGTCATCGCAGGTGTTTTTTGCCCCGACTTGGCCACATCATGAAGTCTCAACAGCATGTACTGGAAATGACCTGATAGAACATCAAACAAATGCATATAATATACTGTATAGATCTGTATAGACATCCAGGCCCATCATCAGGGGGAAAAAGACATACAACGAACACAGACCGTTCGCAACAAGATCTCGCATGACTGGGCGCATGCGGCGCATGAGAAGGCATGGGCGTGGTGGAGTGGGTCACGGCCCAGGCTCTTACTCAAGTCCTCCAGATCTTCATCCAGTGCCTCCACCTCACTCTCCATGCCAACATCGCTGGACTCCTCCCACGAAGAGGAAGAACAGCTTCACCGAACGTGGAGGTGGTTGGGTGGGTCGATGGCGGACCCGAAGTGCCAAACACCACCTCACTAGCGGCACAAACTGCAACCATTTGCTGACCTTGGTGGCTCCTGTTTGCTGTCGCTAGGTTGCAATTGTCATTCATTGTATTTTCCCGCATGCTAGTGTGGGGTTCTTGCTTTTACCGTGCTTGCTCAGCGCCTCTCCTCTCGCCTGCCGAAAACTCCGCCTGCCCCCAACTCACATAAATCAACTACTCACACAATCCAACTCACCAAACTCAGCTCACTCAACTCAACATGCCCAACTCAAGTACTTCCGCTGCTTCCTTAGAGATCTGCTGTTGCTGCGATCCACCGCTGGTTCCCTCATTTCCTGGGGTGGCCGTCAGTGCTTCTGCGCTGCTTCCTGCTTGTCTACCGCTGGTTCCCGTCTGCTCTGCTGCTTAGTGAACAACTGAGGATGGGGAAACGAAAGCAGTGGAAGTCTATGCAAGAGCCGGACGCGCGGTGGCACACGCGTTGTGGGTCATGAGACGATGGCGCTGGTATCCAGGATATAATAGAGTTCAAAAACCCTATAATGTTGACCTCATAACACTAAATGCCCCGTGAATAATGCTAAATGTTTATATACTCTCAGCTGCTTCCAAACCTGATTCTGAGCTCCAGGCATACACACACCACACACACACAGAACAACAACAACAACAACAACAACAACAACAACAACAACAACAACAATGACAACAAACCCCATTCCTTAGCCCCTGGTCCTTCAAACTTTGGTACTTTATCTTTGCTGCTGGCCTCCTTTCTCATGAAATAGGCGAGGGCTTTTTGGCCATCGCAGGACAAACACCCTGCTGAGTACCTGCATCTACTGCACCCAGTAGAGGCATGGTGGGCCAAAAAAATGCAATGCTTTGCCTCTGATGACAGCATAGAGGCTTGGAAATACTGGGAATTCTTATCCAGCAAAGCCTGTGCACTGATGGCAGCTGCTGTGGTGATATCCTTCATTTTTTTGAGCTTATCCTGCAGCTCCTTGATTTTTGCTTGCTTTTTGTCCTTCCTTTCTTTCTCTAGCTTTTCTACATGTTTCTTGGCCTGCATGAGCTTCTCATGCTCCTGCTTCAGGACCTTCATGATGAAACTGATCCTGTTCTCCCAGGCTGCCTTGATTTGTTCTGGCCAGCCTCTTGGTGCTGGGCCCTCTTTGGACTCTGATGCAGCCTGCTCACTGTAGGCTACAACATAGAAGCCACAGTCTGCACCTTTCTGTCTGATGGTGTTCTCTCTGAAAACAGCTGGTTCCTGGTCCTCATTCAGCACTGTTGCCAATCTCTTGGCTGCCTCCAAGCAGTCCTTATGCATGACCTCAAGGGTCTCATAGTACCTGAATCTGAACTTCCCATCTTCTGCTCTATTTGCCACCAATAATGTCCAGTGATCTGGATTCTGGCCCTGGCATGGAACAAGCACCTGCCTCATGCCCTTGGTGACCTGCAAGATCTCTTCACGCGCTCCTTCCATGGTAGCTGATCCTTCCTTCAGGCCTAATCTGTATGGCAGTGATGGCTCCATGAAGAAAATGTCATCAGGAATCTTCAGCTGCCACTTCATCCAGCCCCAACATGCCATGATTTGCTGGTCTTCCAAGAATCCTGATTCTGCCAAGGGCATGAGCATAATCTCATCCTCCATTTGCTCTACAAAAGCTTGTGGGTAACACTTCGTGCTCATCTCCAAAATCTGTTGCAAAGCTGCTCTGGTCACCTTGTTGCCTGCCAGAAACTTTGCAGGAGGCTTCCATGTGGGATCTAACTCTGTGATGTGGGCCAAAGATGCATGAACTGCACCCTTATCTGTCAGGATGGTTGCTGATCCACCACTCACACTGGTGACAGGGCCTGAGGCCCCATAGTGCTTCTTGCCAACCTCCTCACTCACAAGCCTGACTTGCTTGCCAATCAGCTCATGTCTTGTGCTTCTGCTGCTGCTAATGCTGCAGGCTCTGATGCTGCAGTCTTTGGTGCCAATGGGGGTGCCTCATGGGGCTCTAGAAGGGCCTTCAAGCTCTTCTTGGACATCAGCTTCTGTCCTCCTTTCTTTTTCAGATTCAACTTCACCTTTTTCTTGAAAGACATGGGTGCCTTCAGAACTTTCTTCCCTAAGTTCTTCTTGGTGGTACTCCTAGCCTTGATCTGCACTAATGCTTCTCTTTTGCTCATGGAAGAGAGCAACTTCTTGGAAAGAAATCTCCTTGCTGCATTTTTCACCAGCTGTTTTTTCTCCTTGTCTTTCTTTGCCTCAGCTGCTTTCTCCAAGATGCTTGCAAATGACTGGTCTGCATGCATTCTCCTCATGGCTGCTCTTCTCAGGGTTGGGCTCAAAGAGAGAAACAATGAATTGTTGAGTGGCATGATGAGCTCATCCTGAAACTCAAAGTCCTCAGGGATGTCAAGCTGGTCCTGAGGCTCTTCAGGCTCACCCTCAATCTTGGGCTGATTGGCTGGTACTGATGACCACTCAATCAAGTCTTGCACCTGGGATGCATGCTGCATCAAACTGAAGTCAGGCCTTATTGGCACCTTGGTCTCCTCATCCAGCCACTTGTACCTATTCTGCAGCCAATCACTTGGAATGCGCTTGGTGCCCATGGGGTACTCATCAGCTGAATACCATTCCTGCTCCTTGATGGGCTTGAACTCACCTTTGCTATTGCAGGAATATGCCAGCAATCCATTGCGCACTGCTGCCTTCACTATGAAATCTTTCTCTTCATTTTCTCTTTGTAGCTGCCTTTGAGCTGATAGCACTGACTGAATGATCTCTTGGTATCCTACTTTGAAGGTCTTGTCTGATCCAGTCTCTTTCTTGGTGCGCATCCTCATCTCATCTAACTGATGCTTCACTCTGGATTTGAAGCTCCTGCTGAAGTCAGTGTCTGTTACTTGCAACTGGGCTGTTAGGTGTCCAAGAATCTCAACACTGGCTTGGTTCTGCAGAAATTGGCTCAATCTGACCTCCTCTGCAAAGTTGGCTTGAAAGCAATCTTTGATGAGGATGCCATGTGGCTCTCTTTCTCCATGACTTTCACTGATCCATTTCATCAAGACTGAATCTACATTTGAGCTTGGCTGCTGCATGATGCATATCTCCTCAAACCAGTCTGGATGCTGTTGTCTCATGGACACTGCCCACTTCAGGGACCTGCATGGAGCACCTTTATGATGTTCCACAAGCACATCTCCCACCAGGAAGGACTCATAGGCAATGTAGTGGCCTGTCTCACTAATGTTGGACAATCTCTGATGGGGGCCTGGGAATACAAGCAACCCAGGCTCAATGGATCCCATTGGTGGCTGATTGCTGGTCAGATTCCTGATTTTCTGCCTAGCTTCATAGGTGATTCTATACTTTTCATCTGTGCTGGAGTGCCTCATGGTTTTCATGCCTGCAATAGCCTTTTTTCCTGATGATTCTCCCTCATCTCCATGGATGATTTGTTGCTTGCTGGTGAGAGCATCTTGTGCTGCCTGCATCTCCCTTCTCAAGTCGCTCATCCCCATACCTTTATGCTCTTCATATCTCAATCCAGCCAGCTCCTTATCAGACCAAATCATCTTGGTCTGCTGGGCCTTGGCCCAGAGTGGCACCTGGTCACTCATGGTTATGGTGATGGTGTCCCTTGATGCCACCACTTC